GTAGCTTTCAAGTTTCCAGCTACCTTTTACCTTTTGTTCAGTGGAGATTAGAAATTCCAGGGCTGAAATTATCCGATAGGGATGTAGCGAAATCCAAATCTCTCGGTACGATATTTATTGCGATATTTTGGAGAGGCTAATTAAATTGGAGATGGAACACTTTTTTGCTTTTAAAATATGTTGAAAATAATGTTGGTGTGAATTATTACTGTCATAATCCCAAGAATTCAAGTAAAAACACATTTCATCATGTTGTCTGCATTGAAATGAATCATGGGATATGTAGTTCCCTATGCTTATTAGCTGTTGCTACCATAAAACAAGGCATTCAAGCTGAGAAACTTGTGATTTGATATATTGTGACATCCCACGATATTATTGTGAGACTTATGACAATACAATATCAAGATATTTCAGTTATTGGTACATCCCTCTTATCCAAATGATTCTAGTGATGACATCACAAGGTAGGGGAGAGAAGAGAAGTTTTCCTTTTGAGAAGAATGCAGCCTAAAAATGTAGCATGTGTGTGTTTAAAAACTGTGAATGAAACAAAACAAAACTTCAGCCAAGTTTTTGATGAGGAAACACCATTATAACATAACATAGATCAGAAATTAGCGTAATATGGGCCCTTTAAGTATTCTTCTAATGCACAAGATTAGATAACTAGTAGGAATAGTTGGTATATCACAAAGATTGACAAAGCCCCTTGGGATGAAGTGCGGAAAGTCTTTAAGCAACAACTTTCTGAAACTGATTACAAACACTAAACAAGATGATGTCATTTTTTGGCATAGTCATTTCAAACTATAAATTAAATACCTCTGAACTACTCCAACACAATTAGAAAATAGAGTACCTAATCATGTGACAAAGGAGGCACTAAAAGAGGTACATTTGAAAATAACATGAATCCCTCTCCAGAGCCTCATTCTAGTTTTCTGGCAAAGGGCCAGCTCCTCCATCAGCAGCTCTCCTGAAATAAAAAAGTGTTGCAGTGAGGTGTAGGTTACAGTAAGATTTAAACTGGATTTAGACAGTGAACATAAGAGTTGTATTTAAAGGTGTGACTCTTCTGTTCTGGTAGAGGGTTCGAGGCATTGTTTCCATCTCAGATTTAAAAGTTTTAACTCAAATATTCATCAGTATGGCATTAACTTTATCTATATGGAGACAAGCAGGTACATAGAGAGGCAAACTGCATACAGAGACATAGATTCATTCAGGAGAAGTAATGTAAAGCAATGACATCTTTATGAAAAAAAAGCCCAACCAGAAAAGTTGCATAGTTGCACCTAAGTAGAAGTTAGAGTAAAACTGTCCTTGTGAGAGGTACCTGCTGTGTACATATTTGTTTAATTGTTGACTGTGATAAACTAGAGTCACATTTATCGCAAGATATCAATTGAAAGCAGTGTTTTTCTCCACTGGACATCGTTCTATCAGCTGTTTCTATGTCAAAACCCGAATCGTACCCAATTTCTGATGATTGGACGGAACCACATATAGAAACAGGAAACGAAGGAGCAGAAAAGACGACAGGCTGAAAGGTGACAGCCAGGAAGGACAAAGGAGGAAGATGAAGACAGAGATGGATAGATAGGGCAGAAGAGAGAGAGAGAGCAAGCGCGAGAGAGAGAGAGAGAGAGAGAGAGAGAGAGAGGCGATTCTGGTGGCAGTACAACATAATGGAAAAGCACATGAGAAAGAGTCCTATTGATGTGTAATGAAAACCCGCATCAGAGAGAGAGATGGAGAGAGGACAAGCAGAAAGGACGGAGGAAAAAAATAACAGAAAAAAGAAAGACTGAGTAGAGGAGCAGTTATAGCAATGGACCTAATATCATTTGTTTAATAATGCAAGGAGCGAGAGAGCAGGAAGTGCAGAGATGGGCAGATGCCAGGGCCCATGTTAAAGCGGCAGAAGAGAGATGGCATGATTGTGGGTTATGGTTGATAGGAGCCCACACACACACACACAAACACACACAGAAGCATTCATAGACTCACAGACACACATACACACACAACATCGACAGAACCGCAATGCCGAGAGAGAGATGATGGGATGCAAACGCTGATTTTATGAGGCCATAGCAAAAATGTTACTGTGACCTGTCTCTATCGCACTAGCCATTAAGTATTAGTACCGTGTATTGGCAATAGAGCCATTTGGTGGATAATTACAGCTAAATGAGTTCAAATTGCTATAAAAGTCGACAATGAATGTACAAGGGGAATTGCGTTTATAGCGAGGTGAAAGCAGGAAATGCCCAGTGACCGAGGACAAGACCAGACCAATAAAGTGTGGGGGTTAACCTATATATAAATTTACAATAGACGAGGGCAGCACAAGGCGCCAGGTAATGGAGAAGTTAAATAAAAAGGTAAAGATCTATTATTTTAAACACTAAGCAGTTATCTCCATAGTTTAATATTTGACCCGTGGTCTTAAACAAGCTTAATAAAAATTGGTAATACAAATGAAATTATACTATATACAAAAATAGAGTATTTTTGAGCACTTGAGGCAATATGTGACATTTATTCTCAAAAACTTGTATTAAATTAAATTATTCAAATACGGATGACTTCGTCTCCACCATCATCTCAGTATAAATCTAATGGAAACTGAACCAAAGAAGAACACCCAACAATGTACGTAGCCTCATCCTGAATCTTATGTAAATTCTTATAATATTTTGCTTTGTAAATGTAAAGCTAAGGTCATTTCAACTGTCAAGGGAACATTTCTGAATCTAGACCTAGTCATGCATTGCTTCCTGAGAACTGATCCTTTCTGAAAAAGCCATGAAGAACAACTAAGCATTGAAAAAAAAAAAAAGTCCTACTTCATTATATCTAGGCATGTCGCAATAAATACCATATTGACTTATCGTTCAATATATGAACGCTGGAACAATAAATTTTTTTGGTCAGTACATTTTCTTCGCACTACTGGGAAGCTGTTGGTTATTTTTTGGATATATGATATAATTTGCGCTGTAGAAGGTTGAATTAATAATTTCTATAACTCATTACAGATGCAAATCAAGTACTTAAGTGTTAAAGCTTGTGATATTTAAAATATTGTACATTTTAAATGGTTTCTGTGGTTTAAATCTGCTTATTATCTGCTATTAAATTTGTCTCAATATTATCATTTATTGTCTGCATTTACCTCAGCATTATCTCTCACTTCAAAATGTGTTATCATGACAGGCCTAATTATATCCATCATTGCTACATGTAGATTTGGTTCAGTAGAATAACTACAGGGCTCTCCTTCTGTGGTTCTCCAAAATGGCTGGTTGCCTTTACAAACTGCGGCGCATGTTTGGGCCTCCACACGAGCCCACTCGCTCTACCCGCGGTCCTCTAAAACAGCAGGAGCCGCCCATTCAGGATGTAGAGCACGCTGGGTCTGATCCTCCAAAATGCCTGACAGTTTCACCACAACATCTCTGCACTGCCACTGGGGCTGAAAGAAGTGCCTGGGCTAACCCACGGTGCTCTCTACCAGCGGGGCCTGTCTATTCAGTCTGGGCTCCCTTTTGTGCCATCGCAGGCGTCTGTCGTTACCCCCGGTGCGACAGGCTGACGACGCTTTTCTAATGAGTCATTTTTATTCAGGCGATAAGGTCAGCTACCCGCGGAGGCTTAAAAGGCCCCGAGGAGCTGAGGAGTGGCAGCAATGAGACTGCAGACAGGCGCATGGATACAGTAGAAGGAGGGGGATATGAATGGAGACAAAAAATGTTAATATAATAACAGTGGTGGAACATAAAGTAAAAGTAGTTAAGTACTGTACTTAAGAATTAATACTTTTACTTAAGTAGATTTTTACTTATTTTACTTATTTTTACTAATTTTACTTTAGTATTTATTTATTTATTTTTTGCTCTGGTATCTGTACTTTTACTTAAGTAATAAAATCAAATACTGCTTCCACCACTGTATAATAATGAAAACACAAGGTATAAAGGAGAAGGTGGTTTCAAAAAGGCTTTCCTCCTGCCTGACTCTTGGCTTCCTTGGCTCTGAGTGAACTTTGATTTTTTTTTTTTTTTTTTTTTTTTTGTCTCCTCACTGGTTTCCTTTCTTTTGGTGTCTGGCTAGTGTTACTGTCAGCTGAGAATAACTTCAGAGACATGAGTGAAGTTCAAATGCCTTTTTCCTCAGAGATCCAAAGTCAAACATGCACCACATTGAGGTAGTAGCTCATTCTCCTCTGTTATTAATGGTAAACCCACTGTAATATGATAGATAGACACATCCTCCTTCCCAAGTGGATTGGGAAGTGATTTTGTCTTCTAAGCATTTTCCATTTTTAATAGACAATTTTAAGACTTGCCTGTTAGCCATATGGGTGTAAAAATATATGTGACATTTCTGAGATCCTGTATGCCATAAGGATACGGAGTTAAAAATGACTGAGATCTGTCGTATCACTCAAATGACTATCTGAGCTTATTTCTTTCTGCTGTAAAAATATTATACAAAACATTCTTGTGGTTCAATAGCCACTGAAGCACTAACAAAAATGTCAACTTCAGTTAAATAGAAAAAGGAGTGAGATAAAAATGTCAAGCAAAGTGCTATAAATGGATGGTTGACACAATATCCAAAGCTGCAACCACAGTAAATAAATGGTCAAAGTGAACTTCCTGTGTAAGATTCTATTATAATACAAATGAAATAAATGCAAACAGTTGAAAAGAATGACAGAAGATGTGCAAGAACAACATCAGCTAATCTTGTAATGGTGGAGACAAACAGCTCAGTCAGCATGGTCAAAGTAGACAGAGACAGGTCATTAAAATGGACACTATGAGACTGAATGACAGCTGCTGAAAATCCATTTTTACCAAAGTCACATGATCAGCAGTGAGGAGAAAGTAGTGTCCAAATAGCACTGAATGAGTACAGTGCAGTGTACTGCAGGGTCTACAGTGTGACCCTGATTCAGATTTTGTGTTTATCCAGACTGGACTCACCATTGGAGGTTGTGGTTCCGTCTCCATCCAGCTGCCTTTTCTGTGCGCTCCTGAACTCCTTTAGTGAGAGGTACAGCACCTTACGCATGACCCGTTCCTCCGACCACGGGATCCCATCACTGTCGTCCTACACAAAGACAAGAGACACAAAACGGTCACTACTGGTAATAAACAGAGTATATTATTAATCTCTACACACAGAGCAAAGCAAGTATGTAGTAAATGTATGCATGTTTATACCCTAAAGAAGCAAGTTAATTAGCTAGCATGAAGCAGATTAAAAAGTTGTATGTAAACTTGATTAGAACTTTTATAATGACTTAAATTATGGAGAATCTCATTATATTGTTTCCTTGCATCCTTCCCCTCTATTCGTCCCGATATGGTGACAATAGCATGACAGTATTAGCATAACACAACATTAGCTTGCAGCTACACACAGGCCAGTGCATTAGCATAACAATAATTGAACGACTGCTCGGCAGCACAATACCATGATAGCAGAGTGTTATGGTGATGAATGGCGTGGAGGCAAATGAAAAAAGCATCATGGGAGCGCGAGTTCATGTGTCGCTAATCTCTCCTAGCTTAACTGAGACAAAAGAAGTTATTGTGGAAGAGGTCAGCGGAGTCACACACACACACACACACACACACACAAACAATGCATCCTTTTCCAACATGGTGGCCATCTTTATAAAGTCATCAGGCAATCTAAACAACCAACATCATTCTACTGAGAAATTAGTGAAAAAATAAAACAAAATTATTTCAATTGATCTTTGATTTGATTAGACACAAAAAGGCATAATAGCTAATAATTTCCTTTCACTAAGCATTGTTAAAAGACTATTTAGTGAGTGTCCAACTACAATAAATACACTTCTCTCCCCCATTCCTTTGCTAACACTTTCTTAGACGGCTTTGTTTGATGTTGAACAACACTAATGACTACAGGAAATGAGATTAGGACGCAAGCAGCAACAAAGAGGAATTAATAAATAATAGAAGTGGAAATAGCTTTTTCTCTAGTCAAGCCACGGGGCGAGCACTATGAGAAAACTGAAAAAAGCGGCTAATGTATGCTAATGATGTAAAAGGCACAGCTCTGACAGTGCACAGTCATGTCCCAGTCTGAGGAGAGTGGAGCTCAGATCAGGGCAGTTGTCTGAGCGACGACGCAGCTGGTGCACAGGCACTGACATCCGCTAACTGCATTTAGAAACACACAGGGAAATAATTACAAAGCAGACTCCTAACACAATATTATTATAATCAAAGCAGTTTGCAATCTATTAAAAGGTGACTGTTTCTTCTTAACAAATATGACAATATGCAGGTACCAGCTGTTTCCTGACTACAACAGGTAGGGCACAACAGACAATGTAAACAGCACACCCATTTAATATGCAGGAGCTTGAAACACGGGCCACTTAACAAATCCAGTATACGGCCTCATTCACTCACACATATGACATGTCTTAACATATTTTGACAAATTTGACAAGGCAGAACAGTGGTTGTTTATCCTGCTTTTGTGTGTTTTTGTTTCCCTAGATAAAAATACCTGGTGCAGACTAGTCTTTTGAATCCCCACGTCTGCAGTGGGGCCTCTGGGATGCGGCCTCGTGGCGCTGGAGGAGGAGGAGGGGGGTGGGGTGGTGGAGGGGGGTGAGATTAAAAGGCGGGTGTCGGCGTGATGGAGCTGATGGGTGACACACAGCCCACAGAAGAGACGCCTGTTGGGTGCAGCGCTGCAGCGGGTGACACGGGCTGATAGGCTGCGTTTTGTGTGCAGCCAGCAGTCCCTCATTACACTGTCACACATGTGCACATACACGCACACGCACGCAGACATACACACACATATACACAAGCACACACACACAGAGGAAAAGGTAGTGCCACTATTCAATTATGCCATTTTCTGCTGTAGTTAATGTCATCTAATCCAGCCTGCCAGGTAAGTACCAATTACCCAGACAGCTCACTGGCACTGTTCTGCAGCCGGGTGGCACCAGGCCAAATGTACTCTGACACACAGCGGATCTCAGGGTTACAGACGCCAACATGGGCAGCCTTCATGCCATCCAGATCTCCATCACACAGACATACGCAGCTGCGAAGGACGGAAATTTTACTCCTTTCAAATGTTGACCTTAAAGTTCATAGTGTTTCCTTTTTCTCTGATTTGTTCAGAGATGCTGGCAGTGTGCCACAAATATTTCCTGCTTTTGGTAGCAGCAAGGTCTAAAAAAGAAAAAGAAAAAACTAAAAGTGCCTTAACTTTTTCTGAGCTGTAATAATAGCACACTAGTTACACCTAGCACTGGAATATTCCTGAGTCATTTTCGTGTATGTATGTTTGTAGTTAATCGTACGTTCGACATCGATTATGGAAAATACAACTGATGGCTATGCATATATATAATCAAGGGCCACAAATTAAATATGTCATATCTATATGTAATTTCAGGTCAGAATTTGAACTTAAAAAACATCTTTGAAAACTTGGCCAAAATTCCCTCCACATAAATTTGCCCCAAATCGGACTCACACTGTGCTTTAAAAACATTCCCAGATCATTCACAGCCCTTCAGGAATTGCACAGATGTTGAGGAGCTTGAGAATATGTCAAGAGCCTCAACAGGATTTCTCTCTGTATCTGCTCTCAAGCCCAGATGAAAAATGAGACTGCATCGACTTCATAACCCCGTCTTCCAAAGCATGCAAGTTTAATAACCAGTCGCTGATGAAGGAGTGGGTTTGGGCTGTGAGAGGTGCGGTGCAGTGAAAAAAGCATTGTGGATGTATAACAAATTTTGGTATCAAATAGTGTCAGTCTTTGAAATAACATTTGGATTTGTTTATGGAAAAAGAGGGTCTGGGTTTAAGGATTTCATCACTCAACAAACAAATTAAAGAGCAGAAGAGTGTGGGTTTTGTACTTTGATATGCCATTCTTTTTATAAACTTAAAACATGTCTAAAGCGCATTACCGAATGGTGAGGAAATCAGATTAGCAGAGAAAATCAAAGCGGTAATGTAGATTTCTTGTTCTTCTGCATGGATTTACAAGTACGCATGCATTCACACTCACTGGGCTAAAAATATCCCCAGAGCCGTGCTGCTGCCGACAGAGTGGATGTCACGCTGGAGGAATGTGGGCCACACGCCAGCTCCAATCTGCTTCACAAAAAGTGCCTCAAATGCATTATTCTCATGGAGGTTTTCCCCTCAGAGGATGGACTCTGGGAGACAGAAGAAGCTTGGATCGATGGGAGACAGAAATGTTATTCTAGCAAAGCCGGGGTTATTGTATCCAGTAGTCGAGATTATCTCCGAGGGATTTTTTTAGGAACACATGGGCCCCAGATGACTGAGCGCGGATATGAAGGGTTCAAAAGTGGGGCAGATGGCGGCAATAACAGTCATTCCCACAAAACAAACCATGACCTAAGCAGGGTCACATCCAAACACTTGTGCTTTAGAACGGTTATTAGTATTGGAATCATTTGATAATTTTTGGATTCGATAAAAGGGATAATCAACTTGGATAAGTGAAGGATGCACTGTGTAACTTTTCTGGAAAGGGTCCACAACCTTGCAGTTTCCATGGAGATGTTAATGCTTTGATTTAAATTGGCCACAGTATGGCTTTAATCTGTCTTGGATTTATTCAACTACAGGTGTAAATTAATGTTCTAAAATATCTTGTGAATGGAGTCACCTCTCCACAAATCTAATCTGTAATTTGGCTTGTCTCCACGTCATTCCATGGAGACAAGCAAATGACGACTCTACCAGACAAGTTACACCGTGCACTCTTAATTAAAACTCATAAGTCATAATCATTTTGAAACAAGTCCAGTACAACAAAGCAAATTAACCACTCTTACCAATCTCATCTCTTGTGGATACATACATTCATTCTGAAGTAAGATCTACAGTGAATATAGTGCATGCCATTCATTAATCACTGAATATTTATCAATCATCTGTTTTTTTTTCAGCTTCAGTTTTAAGATTTGTGGAACCCATATTGGAGTGCTACATTATTAAAAAGTCAGACAACAGAGTAGGTTAGTGGTAATAAAATGAAAAGTAATGTATTGAAATTGTCAAGATCCATTAGAAATCAGTGGATCTGACACTTGGAAATGTGTTACAGCGTTTTTAATTCAGCAAACTACTCAAGTGGTTCCTAAAACTCAGTGAACCACCGCGAGTACAAAGCATCTGCTCACTGGGTTGACATTCCAATCCTAACTACATCCTGGTCCCCACGTCCCATACAGATCTGAAGACCGGATGCTTAGCTCAGCTCGCAGTGCCTATAGAGAAAGAACCAGGACACAACGAGGTGCTGGGGTGGCTAAGGACGTGAGGCCCACTATAATCGCTTCATTACACCACAAGCTCAGTCCATCGGAATGCAGCTTAGTGTGCGTGCGTGCGCGTGTGTGTGTGAGTGTGAGTGTGAGGGGAGGGGGGGGGGGAACAGGGCCTCCCTTGAACCCAGCTGTAAGAGGGTAACCCAACATGGAAGCAGGACTTTTCCACAACCACACCAGGAATGCACAAGTGACTAAATATGCCCCTGTGCTAATGTAAAATGCATGGTTAAGGTTTTTAATAGAAAAAAACAGTATGAAAACCTTGTCATGGAGCCACGGCCGCAGTAATATAGACATAATTAAAAACATGTGCGCAAGCTAACCCATATAAGCAGACAGTTGGCAAGCAATTGGCAACATAGGCGCAAGTAAAATTTAAATGTCTTCTTTTAAAACATTTCACAAAATTAATCAAGTTTTTGCTCATGCACACGGTGTATAGTGCGCTGTAAATAGGTTTATTTGATACATGATCTTCAAAATTACTGTATATTAAACTCTGTCTTTGTTCATGAATCTTACAAACCTTACAAAGATTTTTTTTTAAACGTTACAAAAAAAAATTGTGATCACTGAATGCAACAACCCATGACTTCTTAAAGCTTTAAATGTCAACAAGACCAGTTATTTATTTGGCATTTAATCATAATCACAAAACACAAATCGCACACTTCCTTAATTACAAATCCCACATGTTCACCAAATTGTTAAAAAAGAAATTGACCAGTTA